TATATATATACATACACACACACACACACACACACACACACACACCTGTCTCTTATACACATCTAGATGTGTATAAGAGACAGCCCTATTGGCTCATAATACCTCCTAATTATTAGAGATTCAGGCCAAAACTTAGTTTCATTAAGTGTTTTCTTATGTACAAAATCACATTCAACCATAAATGATGTATAGTCGGTAGGCCTACATTTACTAGGTAGTCTAGGACCTGACTAAGGTTTGTATGCGCTTTATTTAGGAGAGAATATCTCAACTGTTATAGACTAATACGAACCCTAGGAATAACATGGGATGTGTGCCAAAATCCCTATCCGGGACGAACAGCCCGAAAATGACCATGCCCTTTATTAAATGACCACGCCCCTTTTTTATAGAGTAGAGGTATTTTAAAATTAAGCTAGACTGTATAAGAAAATAGCAAATGAAGGGGTTTTGTTCTAAATGAGCACACATGACAAGGGGATTAAATTCCTAAAATTACATCTTAGTCACATTTTCCGTTCATATGCAAATTAGCTTAAATATGCAAATTAGGAGTGAAAAATTAGGGTTCCCATGTGCTGAGAACCGCTGGCCTTAGAGAGTTGCTTTCTTTTTAAAATTGTTCAGACCATGCATATTTCTATTTGCTTAAAAAATTACCGGAAATGCCATATTTGACCTTTGACCCTATTTGCAAATTTTCCCTATTCCCACAACTACTGACTGTAAAAAGTTTGTTTTGGTCTCAAACTACGCATATTCAAATTCCGATTCACTGTAATTCACTCAGAAATTGCACGAACGTTCCTGACGTTTGACCCTGCAGGCCAATGTGCAGCTGCAATACAATAACAAAAGTTGGAGAGTGTTGATTTTGGTATAAATTGTCTAGAAGGTAAAATTTTATGTCAATCTTGGCAGATTTTCAGAAAATGAATATTTTATTTTTAATTACACTATCAACAAATGCTATCTTTAGGATTAATAATGAAAAATATATTTAAAAAACGTTAGCCATAGCAGCCTAGGTCAATACTAACTCCGGCTATATAAAATTGATTATAAGTTTGAAAATTATTAATCTTATTATTGTAGTAGCGATACTATGTACACGTTTTAATTATTGTTATTTATTCGTTAACGTTATTATATTTACATTTAAATTTAATGTATTGTTTAAGAATGAATTGCTATGTCCATGTTAAATTAATCTTTTCTATTAAAATTGTATATTTAAATAATATAGTAATAGGCATAGCCGAGGTCTAGCCTAGGCCTAAACAAGTGACTATATGTCAGTGCATAAAATTATGAAAAATATGAATAAAACTCAAAATTGTGAAAGAATAAAGGAAGAATAGGGAAAGAGATTTGAGGCTTATGATTAACTTAACGTGCACTTCGAAGACAGCTAGTTTATATTCATCGACTGTTACGGTAGTCTATTTTCACACATATTCTTTTCTTTTATGGATAATTTATTAATTTTCTTTATAAGTTTGTATAAAATTTGTTGTTCATTAAAAAAATTCATTGTTTCGTAATGACTGTGCCATTCTAACTTTTAAAGGTATTTATTTGTTTAATACCCTACTTTATGACCAAGAAAATATTTGTTATTTCTTTAACCTTTTTTCGGCCATTTAGCATGTGACCTTATCTCAGCTCCCTTCGTTCTCACATGTTATCTATTTTTTCCCTTGCATTCTGGTGTTGTTTTTTTTTTATTTTGTCTTACTTATTATACTTATCAGATTAAGACATTCGATCTCAGTTATAAGGAGTTACTTCTCTGTCTCTCTCTTTTAGTTATACGTTTGCGTTTCCTCTGCCGTAGGCAATTAAATACTGTAGTCTTTTATTTTAATTTTAATTATTGTAACTCCGATTTAACATTTAGTTCATGTTATTAGTTGAGTCTTTATCTCTCTCTATAATTGTACGTTTGTGTTTCCTCTGCCGTACCTTTGCCCACACATCTAGATGTGT